TTCAGAAGCTTGCGTCAACTTTTGCAAAGCGTTTTGCAATTCAGGAAAAATGTACAAAGCGCCTGAATATGAATTCCTAGCACTGCATTTTGCGCCCTAGTCCAAAGCGCTCAGTTGCGTTCAGCTAAGTGATGCAGCCGATGGTGATGTAGGTGAATGGAGCTACTTCACCGCACTTAGATCTAATAGTTTTGCCCGCTGCAGCCCTGAGGCCTTCAACCCATGTGATTTGCCGAATCTCGCATTTCGCCCACCCTTCCGCCAAATTCCTTTGGCCGCCTCTTTGGCCACGACAACTTGCAACCATAGACCCCTCAAGCTTCAAGCTGGCTCGTTAATCTTTTTCCCGTGGCTGCCCTTCATACACCCTTTTAGGTCTCCCCAGCCCCAGAGCTCTCCAGGATTGTGACTGGGCCTCGGCCGCGGCGGGAATCGTGAATGAGGACACAAGAAGCACCGGTTGAGCTCGCTACGATGAAGTGGAACATTGGCGGACGTAAATCTCCAGTGATGTCCAAGGTGTCCTGATGAAAATTCAGAAATTGCTCAGGGGGACTGGTAGGATCCCATATTGAGGGTAGAATTGTGAATGACTGCAATGACTGCAATGACTGGTAGGATCGCAGAAGTTTGGAATTCCATCGAAAAACAACAAGTGTCCTCTTTACAGCTATTATTGACAAGCAGGGTGATGTGGGTTGCAACGTGATCAAGCACCGAAGGGAACTAACTCACGTTTTCAGTCGTTTGTTTTATACCGGATTTCGGCTGGCACTCGTGATCTATCGGTTCTTTTGAGATTCATGCGCCCTGGCCGTATGAAAGATGGAAACCATGAACTTCCTAAATATGTGAACCCACGAACCGACATCAGGCAGTGGCTCCCGATGCAGCTGGGCATCCTCATTAAATGAATCAACGGCACGTGTGCAGACAATATTTCGGGGGGGGGGGGGGGGGGCGGTGGATGCCCAATTTTTGCAAGTAAATCAGCCACAAACTATGGAGGTGTCGAGGCTTTCCCTTGTTCCCTACTTGCAACATTCAGGGCATCCACCGGAGCGAGAATTCCGTTGCCTCTTGCGTAGATCGTACGTTTTCTCCTTAGATGTGTGACTTGTGGCCTTATCCAGCCCACAGGATAGCGTGCAGCGGGCAGTTGTCCCTGCACTGGCTGCTGCCTGGCCTTTGCATGTGGTGCAAACGCAGGATGCTGGGATGGGATGGGGTATGATGGGGTATGATGGGGTGGACTGGTGGGAGCCCGCTGAGAGTGGGTCGCTGGCGACAACTTCCGATTCGGCTGCCCGGACTCGGAGCAATGCCCAGTTAGTTTTTGGCACCGTCATGTGGGGCCCCAAAGATATTCGGGGAATCGGCGTGTACATGCCGAGTTGGAATTGTCTTTTTTCAGGGTACCATTTTGGGTTTTTGAATTTGTTCTACCCGGATCTTGTTGGGGCATTTCCTTTTGCTCACTGAGTCCTTAAACAATCTGAGGCTATCGTTTGTCAATGAACACAGATGTTCCATGCATTCCTGATGTTCATGTGTGTGCCCTTTTTTATTGCTCTCCTCAGTCCTCAGTACTGTTTCTAGGGCTCATCAAATTCAGAAACTGGGATCATTGTCCTCCACGCGGATGACTTGGATGCAGATGGAAGCCCAAAAAAGCACCCTTGTTTGGAGAAACCTTTGTTTGGGGGACCCGGATCCAATGAATCGGAGCTCGCGCAGGGTCCCGCGCTGGGAAGCATGGCCAAGCAAGGCTGGGATCAGGCCGGGAGAGCGTGTGGGATGCGTGCCATACGGGTGTGTCTTCTTGGAGGGGGGGGGGGTTGTGGGTTTAAGCGGAAACGAACAGGACAACCATCATTTTGTGGGGGCCCCCCCAAAAAAAGGACGCATCCATACTGTGGATGGACAAAATCCCGGAATAAACCCAATGAATTCTGGGGTAAAATGGAACAAACAACCAGCTCGATGGATTGGATCCATCCACAGTGAGGACCGGTTCTTTTGCTTTCCGGGTGTGCGCAGCTCTCGCCTTCGGGCTTTGGTGATTCAGGAAGCGCGGCAGCTTGTAGAGGCTGTTCACTGAGAGTTCAGTTGGTAATTGGTGATCATGACGCGTATGTTTGCGTTTTGGGTGGTTTCTGTAACTGGGCATGGTTTTTGCCAACTCTGTTTGGGAATCGTACTTTGGATGAGGGTCTTTCGGCGAATCAGACATGGGTTTCCGGAATCAGGGCTGTGGTCCCACTTGGAAGCCATGAATGTCAACTTGGCTGCCAGAAAGAGCCTTGCCGTGCGACACTTGCTACTCGTGAGGCGCGTAAATGCTGGCATGGAGCGGGATTGGTAGAGCCGGCAAGTGCCACTGATGCGTCGGGCCAATTCTCCCCTGCGTCATTCGCTCACGTCAAACGCGCTTCAATGCGCAGACGGTTTAGGTGAAGGTCTGTGGAAGGCCATGGCTAATCAGACGGGCCTAGGATTCAGGTTGCGAAAGCTGATGCTTGTAGACTGCGATTCACCAGGCCAGGATCAAGCTGCAACAAGTAGAGCGTTAAATCGGCCACAACGGAACGAGCATAGATTTGAATTTGGCCTTGTGCTCTGGAAGGGTTGGAGTTGTTGCAGCTGCCATACATACTGTGGATGGATAAATTCCTGCACCAGTTGCGATGGGTGGAACCCGACGACATACAAAAAGATCAAATATGCTTCTTGGTGCAAAGCGCATTGCGACAATCCACAGTATTGGAGTTAGCGCGCATTTCCTGCAAGGCTGCCAATCACGCAATTGCCGTGCCAGCAAACCCGGCCATTTTGGATATAACGCCAACCACGAGCATTCAATCAATTGGTTGGCCTGTGGTTCCCACCACGCAAATGTCGCGTCAATGACCCGCAAGTGTCATAAATTGCTGAGCCTTGGAACTTTACAGTTGAGTCCGGGCTTTCCAAGCCTTACATTCGAAGCTTCCAAGTGAGTGCCTCAGAATATGCAAAAGACTGCAGTCAAAATATGGACCCCTTCCAAATATGAAACCCGGAAACGCTGGAAACCGATTCTCGCCCTTTTTGAGCCAACGGATTCGACCTGTAGGCGGCCTTGAGAGTGCTGCAGGCGAGGGGAATGGTGAGATCGGTTAAGGGCGGAGGGGAAGCGAATAGGACCCCCCCCTCCCCAATTTGCGCATTTTGGGGACTGGACAAACCCAGTTAGACTGGTCGAAATGGCTTGGAATGTTCATGGGGGACCCTCTCACATCATTTTGGGGATTCGTACAAGGGATACGTATTGGAGCGAAAACGCAGGCGAAGGATCCTTATTGTGGGTTTGGCATCTTTTGCAGTGCGCAAGCAGGTCTTGAAACGGATCCTTTCAAGAAGTCGAGTTTGCTTTGGATCTACATAGAGTATCCGCTTCTGTCCCCGGAACTTCACCGAGCCACGTCCAGCTAAGCTGCACTTTTCCATACGTATTGGATGACACGTTTTCCAAACCCGTGCTCAAACACCGAGAGTTTTGTTTGGATAGATGACATCACCGATTGTTTAGCCTGGCTGATAGTGGGCCTTGCAGAAACTGAAAGTTGCCACAGCCTCGCGATGGTTTTGGTCGACTTGTTGTTTCTGCGAACACGCAGCGTTAGGCCGTCAAGCACATTGATGCAGTAGCCCTAAATCCTTTGCTAAAATCAGTGGCGTAGGGTTTTGGGAGGTCTTGAGCCTTGGATGCTTAAGAACTCCAAGGGGATGCAAAATGGTCTAGGCAATGTAGGTGGACAAAACCCTGTTGTCGCTTGTTTGAATCATGTCAACGTCAGCAAAGGCTGTTTGGGTGCTAAATAGCCCACAGTGTTTAACGTCTTCAGACGAAAACCAAAGGAACCGTAATTTCCCCATTTTCCAGAGCCTCTGGTTACCCCCACCAGGTTCAACGCTTCGCTTGGCCCAGGCCGCGCCTCCGGTCGCTGAGCTGCGAGCATGGATGCACTGGGATGCCTTGTTCCAAGCCTCGCAGGGAGGCCAAAGGGCGGCGCCCCGCCCGGGCCACGCACACCTCAGGTCTCAAAGGTGCGGCTCAAAGGGTCGTTTTACCAACTTGGTCTTTCTTGAGCAACCGCAAAACGGGTAATGTGCGTGTGTAGGTGTGTCTCCGTTTTTGAGAGGCCGGGCCTTTTTGGGGTGAGATGAAAAGGAGATCAAAGCTGAATCAAGTATTTGGGTTCCCTAATGTTGGAGACAAATCCAATAAATAAACTTGATCGGTTACTCTCTTGCTTGTTGCCGCCCTTAGCAGTTGTGGCGCGCTTGACTACAGGATATAGATGACATAGAGCAGTTTGAGGAGATCACTGGCCCGTTCTGGTTCATACTTGACCTTATCATGCTTGACCTCCTTAGAGCCTATAGTGATGGTTCCCTTAAGATCGAAGCCCCAGTCGATTTTCTCATCAGTTACGGCGAGGAGTTGGCACACTTCAGGTTGCGCATCTCATGCTGGACGTTGAACGGCCGATGGTCGAAAGCCCGTGAGGGGAAATCAGAAGGACCATCTGCAAGCGGAAGCTGTGATCTTCCACGTCCCAGCTGTCATTGAGCGGGGTCCCCGTTCAGGCGGGATTATCTTGATTTTCCAAAGCAAGCTAGCAAGGGGGTACCTAGTCAGCAGGCACTACTATATAAGTCTCATGGAAACTCTAGCATCCGGCACGCACCACCAAAATCACCAGAACCGCCAGAAGACTATTGCCGCATGATATGGCTATGACACTTAATTGGGCACCACCTCAAAAGTGGTTGGTGGACCTGAATCCCCACCTACATGATATCAACCAAAAGGTCGCTAGATCAAATGCATGACCATATTGGCAAGTTCTGCCTTTCGGACAGCTGTATCACATCGCCAAGGCCCTTTCCAGCTCGATTGCCACAATACGCCGCCTCTAATGATGACCCTTCGAGAGGTTGCCAACCGGCCTGGGTCATTGCCTTCGAGAGTGTGACAGTTTGGACCTAGTTGAAAGGAATATATGCAAAGCAGGGCGCACCTGAAGCTCACGTGGGCATGTCCAATGTCAGACAACCCCCATGTGCTGGTCAGTGGTGCTATCCGAGGGTCGGGAGTCTACGAGACTTCTTGGAGCGCCAGGCGCCGGGGAGCTTGGCTTGGCGGCAGAAGCAAACGAGCCACGGAAGGTTCGGGGATAGTCCGCGTCGCAACTACGAATATTCGCCTCGTACGTCTTTACATGACGCCCCCAAGCTCGCTATTGTTATTTTTACCGACGCGCAACAACTGTCCTTTTGATGGTACTCCTGCATTTAAGAGCAGTACATAAAGCCAAAACTGCCGCATTTTCCTACACAGAAACCCGACCTCATGTCCAAGCACGTGGGTTAAAGATGGGCAGCGCTGCCTCCTGAAGTATCCCTTCCCAAGTCCCTTTGGTTTTCTGCGTTGCCTACCCCGCATTTTGCCAGGCCCGGCATATGTTCCGTAGGTATCACCCTAGTAATGGACTCCCCCAACGTTGGGAGAGCCCTTGGCGCATGTGACACGGAGTGAAAGGGTGAAAGTGCCGCTTTTTCAGTGGTCTACCTTTCTTCAAACATACTGAAACGCAGTAAGTCGCGGGTGATACATGGTGCCAAGCAAGTGACACGCAGTGACACTCTCCTCCAATAATCATGGAAGTAGGGGTTCCCTAAACGAAAATTCGTCCTCCAAGAGTGCCTCCTGTCATCCATAGGGAGAGTACCCATAGTATTTCTGGAAGAGTTGCGACCCATGCGACTTGAGCACAGCCCAGGCCCGGCTGCGGTCTGTGCATCTTCGAGCTCCCCGGCGCGCGGTTCCTGAAGTTGGACGCCGCCAAAGGCACCTGCGAGGCCCGCGAGTCGCCTGCGTGGGGCTCGCGGAGCCAAAGGGCCCCAAAGTCTGGTTGGCCCTTGTGGGAAATGGACGTTCCATACCTGCGAAAGGTGAGATTGTGTCTTTTCCAGAAACATTGCTCGCATTGATTCGTATGTGTGTCGAGTTTCCAAGGAACTCCACTCAGTTGGCTTTGGCGGTTAATTCCAGGCTTTCAAGAGTATCCCGGCCGGTTTGTGGATGCAACCATCGGGACTTCCAGGATGCGACAGTTTCAGAGGTATCCCTGCGTACTCAGAAACCAAACGGTTTGGACTTCTGGACCCAGGCGAAGCAGAAGCAGAGGCCGCAGCCGTTCTCCTGGACAAACCAATAGGGGAAATCCCCATGACATGGACCAACTCCTGGTGGTTTTGGGTGGCATCTTCCTGGAGCTTGACATTCGGCGAATCCGCCGGTGGCCTTGGTTGAATGCGAAAGCAGGTAATTTCTGCTGGTTTGGAGAACTGGTTTCCACACAACCGACACAAACCACCCACTGGAGGACAGCTGAGTGTTTGGCTAAACCTGACAACTGAGTGTTTCGGCTGAGTTGGTTTCTGCGACTTGGGCTGAAACTGTACGCTCGCCGCCGGCACAGGCCTTTGAAGCCGCACTGCTAGCAGCAGACAGTCTTGCCGCTGCGGAGGCCGCGGAACAAGTCGGACGGTAGGCCCAGAAGCCGCTTGGAGCGTGGTCATCCACTGACTAGTCTAAGGCAAGTTAAGTGATTGACTGTTTGTTTGTTCTTGTTCATGGTCAACTGTTGGAAAGTCAAGATTGGATTTCCAGGTGGCAAGAGAGTAGGCTTGATGGCCCACGTTGGATTGGTCCGCAATCTTCAGCAGTGAGTAGCCAACTTCAAGAATATCAACATGAATTAACAAGAGCAGGGAAGAACGACATGTTTTCTCAACAGGTCATGAGTTGTGTCAAGGCCACGAATCCCCCCTTTCCATTGGCTTATTTCTCCAGGAAGTCTGGATCCACTCCTGAGCCCACACCCAACCTACCCATCCCTCAAAGCGCGAGGCCATGCTGGCGTTCATCCACAGCTCCAAAGGCATGCGCTCAGAGCCACTGCAGGCGGCTGCGGGAGGAGACTTGTTGCAACTCTGCATTGTTTACATGGAAGGACCCAACAAGAACGCCGAAAATTGGTAAGTTGTGTGCTGTGATTCACCCAGACTTGGGGCGGGCCATGGATTTGGGTTTGCTTTGAAGTAGTGACAACCGCGGGGCCAGCCCCTTTGGCTTCCCTTTCAGTCAAAGAGTACTCACAAAAAGACAACAATTTGGTTGCGTCTCATGTGAGCCTAATGTAGCTTGGCTGTGGGTAGGTGCAGTTGATACAGGCGTCCGTACTGGGCCATCGCGGGCGCCTTCTCCGGGCCGGACTTAGGCTGAGTCTTGAGTTCAATACTCCTGAACAACTTCATGTGGCACTTCTCCCTACGGGATTCGCATGTTTTCTTACGACTGCAAGCGGGCCAGTGCTTCGGATGCAACTGAGAGACGTGGACTTGGCTTTCCGAACATCAGACCATTCTTTGGCCTCAAGACTCGAGTGGTCTGGATTGTGGTTGTAGGATAACCTTAAACTCAATGACTCATTGATGTTGATGTAGTGTGTTGCCTTGAGTCAACTTGAGCAAACAGAGACGCAGACGCGACACACGGACACTCGCAGAGCAAGAAGCTTGAACCACACCAAAGGCCCTGCCAGATCCTGCCAGTAAGTTTTGTAGCAATAAGTGAGAAGCCGTGTGTTGAAGAGGTGCTACCCGGTTTACTGTAAACGAAATGTGTTCAATCGTCTGCCAATTTCCCTCGAAAGCAAACATGGGCATCACTTGAGTCACTTGTGGCTGTCAAGGCACTGATTTCCAGACCTTCCGATCCAGTGGCGGGTTCAACCCTCAGGCACTGCGGCCAGGGTACCGCAAGGCTGCTGCACAACTACAGGAGGACGGAAGGGCTTGGATTCATCGTTTGACCAACAACCCTTCAATGTGGCGCATCATGTTTTCCTTGTATGCAAACTGTCGATTTGGCTGTGCCTTTTTCAAGGGTTCCCTGTGGGACTCCCAAGCTTAACCCATGCTAAGGCTTCCCATCTAGAGTCAGAAGGCTATGCTCAACTGCATGTTAGAGCAGGTAATTAGCAGGTTGTCCCTAGCCGTTCCTTTCCTCTTCAGCTCCGTTGTTTAGGGAAAATCTCCAAAAGATTCACCAGGCCATCAAAGCTCCAGACCAAGAATCCAGAGTTCGAAACACAAAGACTTGGCAAGCTCGCAGTCGCAGTTCTTACGACGATGCCGAGCTTTGTGTCTCCTGCTAACTTGGCAGAATTCCGTCATATCATTGGGCAAAGCACTGAGACTTGTGAGGTTGAAGTCTCCTTTGTACGAGAAACTAGATATACATAACAATATCAATATACATAAATGTTGCTGCCCTGCGTAGGCACGTTCCGATTTCGCACCGCCCACCTTGAATCTATCATGCATTCCTTTCCCAAGGTCATTTGGGTACGTCTTCGTTTGAAGGTTTCTTTTCGACGATTTCAACACCACCTTGGAGCATTGATTGGTTGTGCTTGTTGTTTCAGTGCCAAGATGGCACCCATGGTACCAGCCCAAGCCAAAAAAAGCCAGCGGTTGGTGCCATCGTCTCAGGCCTTTCCAGCGCTGGCGGGCCAGCTCCTGACTCACTTGCCCCGGCACGACGCCCAGCCGCTCCGAAATTTCGGGAATCGGAAGAAATCCAACTCCGAGAGGGAGGTCCAAGCCAAAAAATGTTGAAGGGGGTTTCTTGGACCGAACCATTGTTTGTTGAAGTGTGGAAGGGAGGAAAGAGTTCAAAACCTCAGAACTGGCTCATAGGCTAGGGGCAGCCCTGTCAATTTGTTCACTTGTTCCGACTTCACTCTCTGGGACCAAGCTGCTGGGTGGCACGCTGCACAGGCACCACAGGTCCACGCCGTTAAGACAACTTCACCTGGCAGATGCGTCGCCAAGATGGAAGGATTTCAGAGTTGGAGTTGCAACCTTGTGCACATGGGTCACTCTCTTGCCACTGGTGGTATTCATTTGCCAATGTAAGTGAGGGAACAAGGCAACACTCTTTGCCGTACTTTACCATGTGTATGTTCTTCTTGAATATGATTGGCTTATGTGCAGTTCGTGTTAGGGGCATCCATCGTGCTCACAGACAGTCTGATTTCGAACTGTTTGTTTGGGCTCAAGGAAGCTCAAAACGTGCACCATCCACCCCTAGCTTGAGGATATTCTGGTGTCGTTTTCGTCGGGGACCCCCTGTAGGTTGCAAAGGGAAGCCAAAAGGAAGCCAACTGTTCTGGGGCCCAAGTGTAGCACACACCCAGTCGTGGCAAGCGCATTTTGGCGCTTCTCGTGGTCCTGAGGCCCTTCATAGAGAACCTGGAGGCCTGACCGGCGTTAACGCAACATAGAAACAGAGACCCCTGCAAATTTTGGTACAGATGGAGTCTCCAAACGCCGTTCAGCATCCAGCAAGGGCAAGGGAGATGCTTTAAGTTTGTAACAGTCGTTTTTTGGGCCGTCGTTCCATGATTGCCACTGTTCGGAGTTGGCGCCTTTGACCGTTTGGTCAAAATGCAGCCCTCGCCTCAACCGATGGCAAAGATTTGCATTCCGCTGCTCACGGAAATCTGAAGTAGCAATAAAACATGGAATCGGCAAACACTGGGACCTTTTTAAGGACGCTTTTTTGGATTTCAAGATTCGCTGAACATGAATCGGAATCGGAAGATTCCAGTCCAACTTGGGCAAAGAAGAGGTAGAACACGCTGACAAACTTGTCGTGTAGATCTCCAAAAGGGGCAGGTGTCCGTTGATCATTCTCCATGTGTGTTTCCTCTCCAGGTGACCCTTTACACGACAAATGGCTTTCCCTGGCTATAGCCCTGAGATTCCATAGCTTCTAAGTTTTGAGGATACCCTTCACCTTGATGTGGTGGGTCCCCCCTATTTTGATTCAAACTCATGTGCCTTTTGGTGAGAGGGTATGTTTCCCACGGTCCACAATGTGCTGGTATTTGTTGGAAGGCACAGAGAAATCCAAATTGACACCCATGTTGGGGGTCAACCCATTTGGATCACCCAAGTGTAGTTAGACCAAAGAATTTGGATGCCACCCGCTCAAACCCGCTGACCCAACGGGTCGATCGGTGTCCCTTGGGCCACAGGTCATTCGGCTGCTGCTGGAGCCCTTCCGCTCAGAGGAGACTGCTCTGGTTCACTTTGCCGAGGCGCAAACCGACCCCTTTCAAAAGCCTTTTGGTGCTTTGTGACGGCAGGATTGACGCCGAGCATGTTGCAAGTTGCACCAAAGCCGAATGGGTTCCTTGCACATTGGCATTAGACTCGTACTGGATGGTTTTAGTTTCCACCTTTTTCTCCATGCAAATAGTTTGGGAACATAGCCCTTAATGATCATGTCTTGGAATGCCCATGGAAGACCGCCAATGGTCCAAAATTCAAGGCGATCCAGAAGAGGTGCTGCTGCAACTGCTACGCTTGTTTCGGGGCACATTGGAAATATACAAACGAACCGGGACACCATTGTGAACAGCGTGTACATTGTTCCTGCTCACCAGTTGCTACGGGAGTTGAATTGTTCAGGCCACGGCGTCTGGCAAAGTGAGATCTGCTCCGTGCTTTTTGTAGATGGGAAAGCAGCCAAGCTCTAACCACCAATCCAAACCACCTAAAAGGGAAGCTGAATAAATATGAGTGTGTCTGTTTTTGGACAACCCCAAAACATGATGGGGTCCCTTGTTTTCCCTTTAGACTTTAAACCACCATCAAAAAGCACACCCGTGTGTTCCCGAGAGCTGAACTGGGTGTCCCGAGCTTTTTGCCCTGAGCTGTGCGCAGGCCTGTGGCGCGTTGCTGGCCGAGCACGCGGCGTTGGTGGCAAACGTGCCCAGAGATTGGAGTTCTGGGGTCATGGGCACGAATTTATGTTTCTGTGGGCATGATTTGGGGGGGGGTTCATGTCCGCCAACCACTTTTGAGGCGGTTCCAACTGAAAGCTCACGGCCATATGATCTCACATATTGTGGTGGATGGGAGGTTTGTAGGAGGGTGGCTGGGGGTGTGGTTTTATTTGACCTGACTTTACATGAGGTGCCCTCAATATGGGCCTGGAGCAAGACTTATTATGTTCGCGGCGAATTCTGAAGTGCTGGCTTCCGGTCGGGAATCTGCAAGCCAACCACATTCGGTCGATGCTAACGGAGGGGCGGTCTTCGTTCCCGCCCATCCAGGTACCCCCCCTGCTCCGGCGCATTGCCCGGCGCTTTGCTGGCTCGAAGGACAGTCCTTCAAAGCCGGCCCATACAAAACGGGATGAAAAGACGCCAAAAAGGCGGCCAACCTACTTTCTGAACCCTCCCCCCATCCCCATCCTGTTGTTGTTTTTTTGCGCATGGTCATAACCGACAGGGGATCCAGTCGGAGGTTCTGTTATTTGCACGAACGGGACATTGCAATCCCAAGCTGGCGCCTTGCCTTTGCTTGACTCACCTTTGGGAATTGACCGGTTGACCTTTTTCCACGATTTGGTCCATGGCCATGGCCCCAAAAGGTGAACTGTTTGATTCTGGGCGTGCCATTTGTAGAAGTTTGGGCATGGCTGGCTGTCCAAGCGAATTGATTCCCGCCACAATTTTTAAAGGGCCATCACACGCTCGAGCTAAGAGTAGAGCCCCTCCGCAGGGTGAACATGTTGGAAGTCGGGCCTGCCAAAGGCGAGGCTACTTGCTGTGTGTATGTGTGTGCGCGTGTTTGTGGCTGAGTTGAACCTGCTTTACAGTACAGCCGATTGATAGTATTCCTGGCGTACCATGGGTTCGTTGCGGAGAAGTGCTGCAATGTTCCGCGAGCTTCAGGACGTGTCCCAACATGTTCCACGAAAAGAAAAGAAAAAGAGGGGAAAAAACAAAAACAAAAACGTGTACTCTGATGTAAGGAGTCGTTTCTCAACATGCAGGGTCATAGGGAATGGCCTTTCATAGGGAAACCAAAAAGGCAACCAACCATTGAAGGGGTCCCTTGTTTTAGGAAACACCCACATTTCAGGTGACTTTGCATCATGTTCGACATGTGTCGTTCATCATCCTGACCACGCATTTTGGGGGTCCCGTATTTCAGGCCGATTAATTGTTTTTGTTTGGTTAAACAAAAAGATCGGCACAGAGACATGTCAGGCTTAAAGGATCACATTGAGCCAAATGAGGAGATGTAGGGTTTAGTTTTTGCGCGCACGAGTCCAGTCTCCAGCAAGGAGCCGCTAGAAGCGGTGAAGTGGATCCCGCGGATGAAACCCCCGAAATAAACGCGGTGGCTGTTTGGACGAACCCAAACATAACCATAGAGATTGGCTTCCCCCATCTTCCCCCCGTGTTGCCCTAGCGAACCCCCCGTGCCCTAGGCAGCGAAGTGGTATGTGAAATCAGCACCGGATGGCCTGTCCGGTACTTGCATCCCGGTCTCACCCAGACCCAAGAAGTGGAAGGCCCTGACGCTTCCTTGCGAATTGAGCGCAGGAGACCCCCGCTCTGGCTCCCTCGGCACCAAGGCTGGAAGGGCCTAAGGGGGGTTCACTCAAAGTACCACCCTAAAATACAGTTTGAATGTGTGTGTGTAGTTGTTGGTGTTTGCGTGTTTGTTTGCTTGATTGCTTTCGTGTGTGGTTTGTTTGTTTGCTTGTTTGCTTGCTTGCTTGCTGGCTTGCTTGCTTTCGTGTTTTTTTTTTTGCTTGCTTGTTTGTTGTTTGTTTGTTTGTTGGTTTGTTGGTTTGTTGGTTTTGTTGAAGGTGCTTTCGGGGCTCGAAGGGAAACCAAAGGGATACCCACCCATGTTTGGGTCGTTTCCCTGGCTTGACATATACCTAAATCTTTCCCTGTATGCACAAGGGGTATTTCGTTTGGGCAGTTCACCCTCTGTGTTTTGCTTTCAGCCGCTTTGTGGTCTAGCTGCCGTTCAGTTTGCTTGGTTGATACTGCCCTTATCAAATTCCTTGGCACCGCTTGCGTTTCCCGGGTTGACCGAAGAGATGGCGAGATGGCAGTCATGCAGGATGCCCCCAGACCTGCCCCCAGTGGCTTTTTTCTACGGCACAAGACCCGAATCGCCATGGACTCAGTGGCAAGAGGACTATGGCTGAGAAAACCGAGGAGCAACCATTCCGCAGGCGAAGGGTCATTCCGAAAATGCCTGGCCCAAGTCACTCACTTTGTAGCGGCAGGGTTCGGAGAGTCACCCTATTTGATGCTGAATCAAGGAGTGTATGGGCTCATTTGGGCCACGAGCTCACCGGGGTATACTGCACTCAATAAAGAGCCTTTACTTGGGGATTCCTTAGATCTGCGAACTAGCTGCGTGGCTTGAACCTCCCCGCATAGCGGGCCGGTTTGTTTCCGTCACGCCAAGCACTGCAAACATGGTTAAAAAGAGTCAAAAGAGATTTTCGCTTCATTGCAGTTGGGGCGAACTCATAGCCTTTGGTGTCGCCAACGGGGTCCGGTCGCTTGTACCAAAGGACAAGTAGCATCTCACAGGAGCATGTAGGTCAGAACCCATTGAGCACATCACCTACATGGTCCACTGTCCCCCCTTTTTGCTGCCGCAGCTTTGTCTGGTTCAAGCACCAGCTTTGGAGGTGCCAAGTGCAGGTGATTGTGCACGGCTGTAAGAAGATGTAAACTGCTTCCGTTCACTTCGATGTTTCCTTGATGGAGCCCATTTCAAGCTGCAAAGCAACATTGCGCGAAGTATGAGCCAAATCTGGGTCTGCTACGGTACAGCGAAATGCAACGCGTTCAATTTGTTTTGCTGGACAGGTTGGCAGAGCCCTGCAACACCAAGTTTCGCGTGGGAATCTGCCGGTCTGCCCGCCACGGATCTCATTTTTGGGTGTTTTGTTAGGAAATCGACTCCTGCGTGGTTTCGTTGGGCTTTTTGGTTTCCGGTAGATTTCTTGGTTTCTACGAACTTGTGTTCCCCCAGTTTTCTGTAAGCAAACCCTTTCGGTGTCCTGCCGGACCCGTGGAGCCACGGATCTTGGCGAAGCTTTGGAATGGCTGCGGAGCCGACGGATCGCCTGCCCTGGCGATGCCGGCGCCTCTGGGGGTTTTCGCCAGCAATCTGTTGGTATATGTTGGTATCGTTCGGGTGGGGGAAAAACAAGCAAAAGAAGAATACAGGTGGTCTTCCGGTCTTCCCTTTTTTTTCCCACATTCTTGTGTGGGGGTATTACTTTCAATGTCTCACTAACTTACACATACTCTCACTCATTCAACTTGCACTTGCTTACTCTCGCTCACTTTGGTGCATCCTACTCGTAACTTTCGATGACTTAGCATGCACTCACTCCTTGTGCATACTTTCTTTCCCTCACTCAACTTGCATGCGCTAACTTTCGCATACTTTCTCTCTCTCTCTCTCACGCTTTGTGCATGCTGATGCCGTTTTACGTCGCAGCACTTTGGGTTGCTGACCTGGATTTCGCGGCAGGCGGAGTGCTTTGGACTACTTTAGGCTGGTCTGCGCGCAGTGGTCAGCTTCGGCCCAGTCTGTTTGCGCAGCGGGCACAATACTTTAACAGCGGACGCAATACTTTGGGTTCAGTTTGCGGAAGCTGCATTTCATGGCAGGCGCAGTACTTTGTCCGGGTCTGCGCGGGAACTTTGTTTTTGTGGGCGTCCACAAGTGGCGTGGTGCGCGTCTGAGGTCATACCCTTGGGCATTGCTAGGTGAAGACATCGCCTGTAGTCTCCCTCATAGCGCCTGGGGTGCTCCGCTCACGCCAAGCACTACAGACATGATCGAGCAAAAGAGGTTGGCGACTTCTCGACATGCATCATAGTGGTCTAGTCCAACTGCCTGGCTGAGATTCCACTCTTTTCTTGGTTCCTTGTCAAACAATCCCAAAATCCAAGGGAATAGAAATGCAGGTGACGCACAAGACGTGTCTCAGACTCCCTTATTTGAGATTGGCGACTGGCTTCAATTTTTCGATCGCTTCGGATGTGCCCAGACCTGGTAGCGGGCGGCGCCGTGGTTGCAACGGCCATCTGCACACGCCGCCGCTTGGTCTGTGCCAACCATGGGTTCTCTTGGGGGTGGGCGCGTGTGTTTTTGGGGCCTCCAGACCAAATATAGAATCTGAGTTTCTGCCCAAGTAGCCAAGTTCGGCAGTTGGTTTTCGAGAGAAACCGAAGACACTTCAACCATCTTGGGGATCCAGTACTTGGATGTTCAAGGCTGTAAGTGAACCAAGCCCTTGGAACCACGGAGGCAGCCTATAGTGAGCTGAACACAAACCAACCCCCGAAAAGGGCCACTCCAACAAAGAACATATCTCCAGGCATCTAGGCCGGGGTCGCTGGTTGTCTCAGAGGTTTCCTGGGAAGTGGATTGTGGAGCTTTGGGAGAAAGTCCGCCATCATCAAATGGAATTGGCGATTTGCCCAGGAAAGAAACGCATCTGCCCAATCTAATCAGGGCACCTGGCAGATAGCAGAAGATAGCAGAACGGACTGGCAGGGGCAGGGCTTGCTCCGTGCAAAGTCAAGTATCCAGTTGCTTAGACAGTTTTATGTGGACCTTTGGCCGGGTGTTTTCCCGGCAAATAGCTGTAGATGTCGCCAGGGTGGTAGGTCAGGGCGTTCGAGATCAGTTTTTCTGTTGCTGTGTTACGTTGAACCAAGCATCTTCCAAGATCCGTGGTGTGAGCCTTTCAACTCTTGCAGGAATGCCTCAGGCGGAAGTTTCAATTGCCGCAGTTTCTCGTTTTGCTGGCGGGACAGTAAACATGTGTGCTCAATGGAACCGGTGTTTTCTTCTTTGAATTTACACCAGCCGTGTTTATGTTGAAATTCCTCATTTTGGATTATCATTTTTGTCTTTTTCTCAAACGCCGGAGCCGTGCTCAGCGCGACTTGTTGACGCCCCACCCCTGGACCATTGACCCTTGCGAAGGTGACCCCGCGGCCGAGAGAACTCTGTCACGGAAAGACTCCTTAAAGGCAGGGGGTTTGGTCCACTAGGGCCGCAAGACACGTGACGCTGCAAAACAGGATATGCGGAACGCTGTTTCCGTTTTTGGGGAAAGATGAAGCTCATATTGTAGAATGGATTTCTCGCAACCGCCAAGTTGCATGACTTCCTTTTGCTTTCCTTTGCAAAACAAACACAAGGGTGTGTCCAAAAAAAACGACACATAGAAGTCATATAAGCTAGATGTGAGTTTTGGGGACCCCAAAAACGGTGCTCCTTTAAAGCGACAAGAAAGGGAGTACCCTCAAAAACGGACACTCAAAAACTCCCTTTTAACGCCCGGATCGATGATTTCGCGAGCCCCCAGAGACAGAGCCGCGGTTCGGATTCAACCGACCGCCATGCTCGGAGGTCCCAAGCTCTCTCGCGCCTACGCGCACCTCGGGACCATAAGTTGGACTGTTCTAGGAGGCGTGAAAATCAGAAACTTGGGGGTCTTTCCCTTTAACCCACTTGGGGGGACTTTAGCCTCAGCGCATGCGTTCATGGGGCTGCTCCCCGACTTAACGGGTGACGGTGTTTACCATTGTGTTGTTTGGTGCATCTTGACCTCATATATCCTCGGGCAATCTGGGGCACAATTCAAGCTATAACCCTGCACACTCTGGATTGAAGAGGTGGACACACGAATCAAACATAGGACGTTACTCTGCCCTGGAAAGACTCATGGCAAGCGTGATGGTCTATCTCGGCGATTCAAATTTAGGCTTGGGGACGGTTCCTCTCTGTCCTTATTCTTGTTGTCTTTCTGTTTTTGTCGCTCCCCCTCTCTCGCTCTCTCTTCATGATAATTTGTTTCAGTGAACTTCTCTGAGGGATCTGCTTGAACTTGTCTCTTGATTGTGCCATTGAGGCATGTTTAGTTGCTTAGCGTTGTCAAGCTGTCTTATTGTGATCCACTGGAGTCCACTGTTAGTTCAAAAAGACACAGACGGCAAGTTCCAATCAACTTCTCCGTGGAGATACCTGGGAAGATTCGTATCTGTGTATTCAATTATACCCTCTTGGAGTTCACTGAAACCGTAACCAATCTCTGCCACGTATCAGGTGGCAGGCACCTAAAGTGGTTGTCCCGGAAGGAAAGCACCACCCTGCTCTCTCTTCAGAGACAAGATCGGGCCGAAAGGGTTTGCAGGACCTGAGAAGGTTCCGAATCTGGGGACCCACCTGAGGCTTCCCCGGTTGGGATTCATTCGGGGGCCTGGGGTCTTGGTACCTTGCTTCGCCACACTTTTGATTCCCCATGTAGCGACAAACCCGTACCCGGAAAACCCATAAATGCCAGGGCGACGCGCCAACTCTGCTTCGGTGCCACGTTGTCCCGCGGTTTTGACGCCACCACAGCACTCTTTGGGGATACCCCTTTCTATGGATGTTACATAGCCCTTCTCACCCCCGACACACAGTCCCTGTGGGCGGCCCAAAGCAATCTGTAGCGCCGGTCTGAAATCTGGCGATGGTGCGTCCAGAAACTGGTCAAGTTATGTGATCCCAAAAACGAGTTCTCAGGTGTCTCCA